TTTTTTTTTTTTTTTTTTTTTTTTTTTTTTTTTTTTTTTTTTTTTTTTTTTTTTTTTTTTTTTTTTTTTTTTTTTTTTTTTTGTTGTTGCTCCAACGCTCTGTTTTACCAGGCCAGCCAGCTTTTTGACAGCCATCCAGTTTTATTAGTGCAAAAACCCCAAAATCCCACCCCCTCTGGCTTGCAAACAACCTACTGATTGATGCCTGGGAGCAGAATGTCTGCTGGGCCCTGTGTGAGTCCAGCTCAGAAGGAAAGGAAAACACAAGATTTGCAAATGTCTGGGACTTCTAAAGGGTGTTAAAAAAAAATAATAATATTTGAAAAAAATTAAATAAACTGAAAAGCCTCTTGCTACAAGTCACTGCCTTACCTTTGGGGCTGCAGGGTTTCCTTGGTTCCAGCTCGGGAGAAGTCGGGTGCAGATAAGGAAATCAGTAGGACCTGAGTCAGAAAGCACTTTAAAATGAACCAGGTACCTCCTGACTTAAAGACACTTCTTTAAGTGCTGTTTTCAGGCCCTGAAATGCAACTAAAAAATAAGCTTAGTCTGTTGGGCTTTGCCATTTCTCTCTTTGAAGCAGCGAACGTTCCTTGTTCTCCCCTTGCAAAACCTTGAGTTTCCTTAAATTTGGAGACTGGAGGCTTTTCAAACTTTATTATTATTATTATTATTTGACTCGGGGCACTTTCCAGAAGGCCATTATTTTCACACAAAGTGTTGCTCCTCCCGAAACTCGGGCCCGTTTCTGATCCCTTCATTCGAGCACTCCAAATTGCCACTCTTAAATGGCCGTGTTAGTCTCAGGCTTTCTCCCCGTGTTTATTGCTTATTGGATGAAAGAGGAGTGGAAAATGAGTGGAGGCAGAGGAGAGAAATAGGAGAAATTAAGGGAAGGGGGTGGGAAAGGGAACAAAGAAATCGATTAAACGCCTTTTTTTCCCCCTCGCGCGTCTTTCCCCAGGATGATTCTGTTCCTCGGGAAAACATCCCCTTCGTCGGGTGTGTTAATATTTAATTAGTTGCTGATCATTAAGTGCTTCTTGTGGCTGCTAATTTGGAGGGGGGAAGTGCTGGGAAATGCTGCTGCTGATGGGTGCTGGTGACAGTGAGCGTAAGTAGGTTAACAGGGCAGGTTTTTCTGTGCCTCGGTGCTTGGCAGCCCCCAAACTTCAAGGAAACCTCTTTATTTCTTTTTTTTTTTGGGGGGGTACAAAGGCCATGGGAGTGTCCCAAAGTCCCACTAAGAGTCTGTGAAGCAGCAGTGAAGGGTTCAGCCTTTCTGCCCCAGCATTCGTTAGTGTGGAGTGCTGAAAAACTCATTTTCATCCTTTGGGCATGTGATATAAAGCCTCAGGATCTGAAATATTGCAGTCACCATGGCTACCAGTGACTTATCTGAGGGAGTTTGACTTTTGTTTTGATTTTAAGTGTCTTAATTGTAGTTTAAAAATCAGAATCTAAATGTGTTCTTTTTTTTTTTTTTTACTTAGGCATGAAACTAAAGGCATTAAATGATTTGCATTATTAAAATATCTATAATGCTGCCTGTCAAAGGTTCTCAGAGAAGGTCCTTAATATTCATACTTTATGTTCTAAATAAAGTTACTCCCCAGCTTTGTGGCGTAGTTCTGCTTCCCTCACCGCAAAAAAAATCCCTTGCAGGTGCCTCGGTGGCTGTTTTGCAATAATCCCAAAGCTTTTGTCCAGCCATGGAAAAGGGCTGTGCCATTCCACACCCTGATGGATGTGAACACACACACACAAATCCTGCTTGGTTTTCCTCCTTCCTGTGTTGTCCCCCAGCCATTCCCAGCGGGGTCCCACCTCTGGGGCTCGTGTTTACGGGGAGAGTTGGGCTCTTGGAAGTTTGCCCCGCTCGGGAACGCCGCCAAGCCCCTCCAGTTTGTCCTGGATGAAAAATCACCCAGCACCACCTGCCCCCCAAAAAGAGGAGGAAACGTGGGGGATGCTGAACTGGGAGGGAGAGCACCAAACCATCCCTCCTTCCAAGGGGAATCAGGCTGTACGAGGAGAGGAGGAGAACACCACCAGACAGTCGTGCAGCTGAAGATCTTTTTTTTTCCCCCCCTCCTTAATTCAATCACCGAAATGTTACAATCTGTCCTGCTCTAATTCTCTCCGCTTGTGCAGTGGTTGCAAACATGCTGAAATACGAACTCATGCCTGGTAAGCCTTTAATTCCAGCTTTGATGTTTTTAATCATCGGTACAGATTTGGTAAAAATGATTCATTAGCTCGAGAGGCGTCTTGGCTTCCACGTGACGCCGTGGGGGGACGGAGGAGGCAGGGGCCGCTTGTTCTCGGGGGTGTTCTCTGTGCCTGGGCTGGTTCCTGAGGTGTGGCCCTTCAGATCTCCCAGCCCCTCAGCTTCAGGGGCCTCTTGGGTGTCCAGATGCCCTTCTGGTCCGAAGTGGAGCGGTGCTTGCTCAGAAAGCTGTCTGTGGTCAGCGTGCTCGGGGCGAGGGCGAGCTCCTGCCCCGGGTGCAGCAGCAGGAGGATTTCTGGGCTTGTTTGCCTTCCCTGCCCACTGTCTGGCTGCAACCACTCCCTTAACCCTTGCTGGAACATCTCCACAACCCATCCACGGTGTTGGGGTTGGGGTTCTGGGTTGATTTTTCCCCCCAGCACCCCATGCTGAGCTCTATCCCGCGGTGACCGGAGAGGATTGAAAGCAATCTGGCTTCAGAGCAGCGGCTCGGAGGCAAATCCTCAATCCCATTACTCGTCCCCTGGCAGTCCCTGTGTGGAACTGGGGTGCCAGGGGGTGTTGTCAGAGCCTCTGAGGCTGCTGCCCAAAAGGCATCACCTTGGGAATCAACGTGCCCGTGGAATTCCAGCTGCCTCGTGTGCAAGGGCTGCCAGTGACACGGATATAAAGATCCCTTTCACTGTTGCAGCTATTTCCACGTGGAAAGTGGGATTTCTGCTCCTGCACAGCCACCTTTCTACCAACACACCCCATGTCAGAGGCCTCAGTCATGTAAACACGTTGGGATGGCCAGGAGGCCCCTGGGACGTTGATGGGGATGTGATTTTTTTTTTTTTTTAATTAATTTTTTTTGTTGTTTAACGTTTTTCCAGTGGATAAATTTGGGAGGCAGCCCCACGCTTGAGCCCTGCTCCAAGAAGGGAAGGACCTCAGTCGAGGACAAAGGAAAATTCCAGAGGCTCTCCAGCCCTGCCTCCCTCAGAAAGGGAAGCGGAATAAACACTTTCTCACCGGTGTGTGCGAGGAAAGGCTTTTATCTCCCAGGCGTGTTCCGGGGAGGAGGAGATGCAGCTCTTCCCAAGTCTTGACTGCCGGGCTGTTTCTGCTGGGGGAGATCCGGGCTGAGATAGGGGCAGCCTCCCAAAGGCACTCGCATTTTCAAGGCTTCCTTTTGTGCTCAGGGTTGGTGTTTTTTTTGTTGTTGTTGGTTTTGTTTTGCTTTTCTACTCTCTGACATCCGACTGCTGCTCCTCTTCTGCACTCCAGCTCCTTCCCTGCCCTGCTTGTGTCCAGCCAAGCCTGCCCTTAGCCCAGACCCCTTTTTTGTCCCCGCCGTGCAAACACTGCTCGTGGCTGCTCTCTCACCTCTCCTCCTCCCGCTTTGTTTTCTGTAAACCCCTCTCTCCACTTCTCCTGCTTCGTGTGGGTTTTGTTTTGTTTCCAGTTTGTGTTGTTCATCTTAAAATCCTCCTTTTTTTTTTTTTTTTTTATTTTTAATCCCCCCTCTCTCCAGGCTGAAGAAAACTGGGCATTATCAATGCTTCTCTTTTGATTTCCTTTCCTCCCCCCTCTTCAGAGTATTGTGTAATCATCGGGTCCTTTTATTCTATATCTGTAAATAGACAAAGGAACCAGCACAGGGAGTTTTTCCTGGAGTGGCTGTTCACAGTTACCTGTTGAAATGAACCTCACGTGCAGACACGTTTATTCCACACAGATGTGTCGACCCGCCCCTCCTTTACTTCAAACTTGCACTCTGGTCGTTCCCACTGCCCGTAAAAGTTAATTGAGGAAGAGGGGAAAAAAAAAGAGGAGTATTTGTGCAGGTAAAGCTCGTTGTTTGGAGGGCTGTGGGTGCAGTGACAGCATTCCTGCAGGGATGAACCCCTAAGGCTGGCAAAAGGAGCATCTGAAACCAGCACAAAAACAAGCACTGAGGGAAATTCCCCTGGGAAGACTTTTGCAGGAGGTGGAGTGTAATGGAGTTACAGGGAACTCGGGAGTTGCCATTCCCGGATGAGTCTGTGTGGAATTCACCTGTCCAACCTGGAGCAGAGTGGGTTTGCTCCGTGTCTGGTGCTCTGTGTCCAGAGGGAACATCATTTCCTTGCTGCTGGTGGATGTCTCCTCCTTTCACCCCCAGCAGATCGAAGTTCCAGGGAGGAGAGTGAAAGGAGTTTGTGACACGATGAGGATCCGCTCCCTCCAAGCTCTTCCCTCTTTCTCCATGGGAAGAGCCCGAGTGGACAGACAATTCTTGGCTCACAGAGTACGGATAAAGGTCTTGTCAACAACTGCTCTTCTGCTAATCCTTTTTATTCCAGCAAGGAATAACTCCGTGCTCTGATCTGGGACTCTTTAGCACACTTTGATTTTAGGGCAGGGATTTCGGACCTGTGCTACCGTATCAGCCATCCCAGCAGGAGCTGGGCTGGATCCTGGGGCACCTTCCCAAGCCTGAGGAGTTGGAACCAGCCTGCCAAGGTTCCCTCTCTGCATCCCAGCGAGCTCCAGAGCCGCCACAGGCACAGAGCGCTGCCCTCCCAGCTCTGATGAACATCCCAGATTTCCCCTCGCTCGCCTCTCCTTAAAGCTTCCAGGAAATTGCAACCCGATAAGTTAGGCAAGGAGCAAGTCCCGTCCATTGTTCCTCATTGTTCGAGGATTGTTTACATCCCCCTTTTTTGTTATCCCATCTCCCTGACTCCTCCCTGACCTCGCCCGGTTTGTTTGGGCCATTGTGCGTGGCCGTTGCTGTTTTGGTCGGGAGCTCTGAGGGTTGGAGCAGACCCTGGGACTGCACATCCAAACTCTGAGGGAGGGTTGGAGCACACCCTGGGATTATTTAGCCAAGATCTGAGGTGGGGAGGAAGGGGGGGGGGGTGTTGGAGCAAAACCAGGATGACACAGCCGAGCTCTGAGGGAGGGTTGGAGCAGACCCTGGGATTGCACAGCCCCAGCACGCTGCGTCCTCCTCAGTTCTATCCCACCTAGATAATAATAACAACAATAATAATAATAATGCCCTTAAAGTGCAGCCCTGGGTGTGCTCTCCCACTGTGGATTTGGGAGCAACTCGTGCAGCTTTCCAGGCTCGGTATAATCTCCCTGGGATTTTTTTATGTCGCGTTTCCATAAAATATCCCTTCAAAGGCAGACACCAAACAGCAGGATGCTTCTGAAAACAGAACCCCCATCCTGAATATTGGCCATCCCCTGGGCAATATTTTCTTCCCAGGAGGGAAGATCCTGAAGAGCCACTGGGAGTTGGGTTAAATTTGCAGAAGAGTTTGGGATCCGCCACCTCCGCTGGCGCCGCTTTGGTGGGCTCGGGGAACCCGCAGCTATTCCTGGAGCTGTTCCCAGAGGAGCAGGGGGCACCCAACAGCCCCTTCCCCTCGTGCGGGGCTCCCGCTGCCTCCGAACGCGGCGTCCCCGCTGGCAAGTGCATCTGAGGCCAGCAGAGCTGGGGATGCTGCTCCGTGCGCTGGGGAACATGTGCGAGAGGCGCTGGGAAAAGCGAGGAAATATTTACGCTGGGAGGGGACTGTTGACAGTGCAGCTCGAGCGGTTGATGTTATTTACAGCAGCCAGGGCTGTGCAATAAGTTTGCTTTTGCTCTTCTCCTGAGGGTCAGGCGGGAGGGAAGGAGCGGAGCGGGCTGGCAGGGCCGGCCTTGGCGGCGGCAGCAGCTCCAGCAGCTGCAGGAAGGGAAGGTGGTGAGAAGAACAAGCAGCTGTGACTCAGTGTGGTGCTTGAAGGCGAGGTCAGGGCGGGCTCAGCGCGGGGACACCCAGCGTTCCTTGGTGGTTCTAGGATGGCTGGATAGTCCCTGGAGCCCGTCTGTGCTGCAGGGATGGGGGTGTCAGCAGTGCCAGAGCATCCCTCCAAAACCTTTTGGTCTCTTTTGTGCTGGGAGAAGGGAGCACAGCGTGAGGTGCTGGTGCTGCCGAGCTGGGAACGGGCGTTGCGGCCCACGGTGCCCGTGGCGGTGTCTCCCCCGGCACGCTGGGTAGGTAATACCTCAAACTGTTTAAATTTCACACCAGCCTGTCTCTCTTGTTCTGTTTTTAGCATGGCTGACAAGAACAGCACCCTGAAATGCACGTTCTCTGCTCCTGGCCACAGCACCACTCTGCTGCAGGGACTGGCCTCGCTCCGAGCTCAGGCTCAGCTGCTTGATGTCATCCTCACTATAAATAATGAAGTGTTTCAGGTTCATAAAGTTGTCTTGGCTGCCTGCAGTGACTATTTCAGGTGAGAATCTGAGAGGGAAGCAGGCATTCGTACCTTTCCCGTTGGTTTGCTGTTTCCCTGTCCTCCCCCACCCCAACCTTCCCGCCGCAATCCCAAAAATCCCGCCCCGCAGATCCCGTCGGAGGTTTGGTTTGCCCCAGGGATTCCCTGCAGGCAGGTGGAGGTTCAGGATCAGTCCCTCTGCACGCAGGTGAGGTTTGCTCAACTACAGCTGCTGGGCCGAGGCACAAGTTCAAGGCCAGGTCTTGAACCCACCTGGGCAGGTGTTGGGGGTGTTTTGCCCTGGAGCTGCCCGAGCTGGCTGGGAAGTGAGGGCTCCAAAATGACTCATCCCGTGGAGTGAGATGCCCACTGTGAACACACTCCTGCTCCCTTTAACCACCACGCTGGTGTGTCTGCAGTGCTCGTGGCTCTGGGAGCACCAAGGGGTGGGTGTGATCTCCCTGGCAGATCCGGGAGCATCATCCCAGCTCCCGTGGGTAGGAAACTGAAGCCCCCGAGATGAGTTTTTGCAGCCAAGTCAAGGCAGAGTGAGCCAACTGCAGAGCAGGGAATTCACTCCGAAGTGAAAGTATGTATTTATCCATCACTGAGGTTGGAAAAGACCTCCAGGGTCACAGAGTGCCCCATCCTGTGACCCATCCCCACCTTGTCCCCCCATCCCAGAGCCACTCAGTGCCACTGACTTGGAATGACTTGGAACTGGGGACGTTTTTGGGCAGCACCAGGAGCAGGGTGAAGTGAGGGACCTGCTGGAGGCACTGGGGGTGGGGAAGGCTCAGAACTGGGTGTTGGTCCAGACTGCAGGAGGGTTGGACAAGGGCTGTTCAGGGGGGTTTGCAGCCCCATGACCTGTAGGAACCTTCCAGACTGGTTTGCTGAGCAGGTAAACAAGAGCAAGGGACTTCCCTGTCCCTTGGCATCCCTCTGGTATCCCTTTATCCATCTCCTCAGCTCCTCTGATGGTATCTGTCTCGTGTTCACACCCGTTTTCTGGGCAGTTTCCCTCCTGTCTCCCTTTGGCATCACAAACCTTCCAAACTTATCACTCTCCCCAAACACGGCCCACGAGGAACCCCGGAGCTGCTCTGCCCCCCCAGGTGCCAGTGGCACTGTTTTGTTCCTCCCTGCTGGGTGCAGGGCCACTGCCAAGGTGTTGTTTTTCACTCCTAAAACATAATTCCTGAGTGGGTTTTCTCGCTGTGACTTCTGTGGTGCTGAGGAAGGTTGTCCTGGGGAACGAATAATCCAGCTTTTGGAAACACTCTCCTCCTTCTTCTGCGGGAGGGGGGAGGGAGGAGAGAGCGAAAATCGAGGCATTTATGTAAATCAGCACTTCAGAGCCGTAACACTTTTTAAGGGAATTGCATTCTGGTTGATGGTTTTGTCTCCGGCACGGCAACAACAACAACAACAACAACAACAACAACAACAACAATGCACACGAGAGCCCGCACGTGTCCTCCGGGGCGGGGGATCAGGGCTGGGACGTGGGAGACGCAGGGATTTGAGCGGAATGCTCTCATCTGCTGCACAGGCAAATAATTGGGAACAGGATTCCCGGACACTCGGTTGCAGAAAAGCTGATTTCATGTGCAGATATTTTTCCTTATTTAGGTCATTTAGGATTTCTCGGGTCTGGGCTGGACGGGGGGCAGGTTTTCCAGCCTGGTTTGGACGGGAAACTTGGAACTCCTGTCAGCGCTCCCAAGATAGTCCTTTATTCCTGTGTTGATGCAGGGTCTGTTCAGCATTTTTTCTGCCTGACTTGCACCTTGGAGCCGGTGCAGCTCCTGAGGCAGCTCTGATGACACCACGGATTTACCTTTCCAGCGGAAAAAGGTGGAAAAACCAGTCCAGAATGTGCAACTTTAAGGTCTTTTGTAGGACGTGGCCTTGCTGGGCCGTGTGTGCAGCAGCAGGGACCGGGGACACCCCCTGTCCCAGCCCTTCCTGCCCTGATTCGCCTTCCCCACAACCCTCTTGTCGATACTCCGGGTTGCAAACCTTTGCCCCCGAGCCCCCCCCACGTAACAAAACCCGCTGAAGTGGGATGTAAATGGCTGAAATTCCCCCCTGATGTGCAGCTACACCCCCAGCCCCCCGGCTGGGGGGGCTGCAGCTCTGCCAGGGCGGGTTCAGGGAGGGGTGGGCGCAGTCCTTGGCGTGGAATTTGCTTCCTGTGGAATTTCAGAGCCTCCCAAGGAGCTGATCCGGGGCCTGATCTCGGCAGTGGCCTGGTCAAGTGATGTTCTTGCAGCTGTGCTGTAACTAAAGCTCTTTTCTGCCTGGTTGTGTGTGATTCCCTGTCAGCCCCCCCTGCTGCTGGAGGGGCTGCAGCTCCTCCTTTTTAAGGTGGTGGGGAGGGAACCTTGGAGGGGAGGCTGTGTTGGGTGAGCAGAGCTGCTCAGAAGGCGCGTGGCACCCGCAGTGTTTAACCCATTCCCTCCTTCCCTGGGACACGGTGGGATAACAGGCCTGAAGGCTTTGCTGCCAGGGGTCACTGGCCTCCTGACACAGGTGTGTTCCTTGTGCTCACAAATCCTGCAGGCCCAAACCCTTCAGGGTACCCTCCCAGCCTCTGCTGGTGCAGATCCTCTGTTGTTGAATGCTGTGGATTCACGATACTCGTTCACGTCCTGCTCTGGGAGCTCTGCCTCTTTGTCCTGTGCTCTGCTTCTTCCTCCCGCTGCCAGTGGGATTGAAAAACCTTTCTGGCAGCTGAATGTTCCTCCTCAGTGCACTGCAAGCCTCGTATAAGTCACCGCACTCTGATTTCTCCTGCCTTGTAGAGGCTTAGCCTTGATTTATTCCCCACACCCCCCCCTTCCTCATCCTCCCTAGAAGAATCAGCATGTTAAATAAAATAAAATAAAACCCCGATGTGATACATCATTTATTCAAGAGGTGGGGGGGGATTTTTGTCTCTGTGCTCTTGACCCGCAGGGCGATGTTCACGGGCGGGATGAGAGAGGCCAGCCAGGATGTGATCGAGCTGAAAGGTGTGTCTGCCAAGGGCCTGAAGCACATCATAGACTTTGCCTACAGCGCCGAGGTGACTCTGGACCTCGACTGCATCCAGGACGTGCTGGGAGCCGCCGTCTTCCTCCAGATGGTGCCTGTGGTGGAGCTGTGCGAGGAGTTCCTCAAGTCTGCCATGAGCGTGGAGACGTGCCTCAACATCGGGCAGATGGCCACCACCTTCAGCCTCTCCTCCCTGAAGGAGTCCGTGGACGCCTTCACCTTCAGGCACTTCCTGCAGATCTCCGAGGAGGAGGATTTCCTCCACCTGCCCCTGGAGCGCCTGGTGTTCTTCCTGCAGAGCAACAAGCTGAAGAGCTGCAGCGAGATCGACCTGTTCCGCGCCGCCGTGCGCTGGCTGCAGTACGACCCCGCGCGCCGCGCCAGCGCCAGCCGCGTCCTGTGCCACATCCGCTTCCCCCTCATGAAGTCCTCGGAGCTGGTGGACAGCGTGCAGACCCTGGACATCATGGTGGAGGACGTCCTGTGCCGCCAGTACCTGCTGGAGGCCTTCAACTACCAGATCCTGCCGTTCCGGCAGCACGAGATGCAGTCGCCGCGCACGGCCATCCGCTCGGACGTGCTGTCCCTCGTCACCTTCGGCGGCACGCCCTACACCGACAACGACCGCACCGTCAGCTCCAAGGTCTACTGCCTGCCCGACCCGGGCGGCCGCCAGTTCAAGGAGCTCACGGAGATGGAGGTTGGCAGCAGCCACTCCTGCGTGGCCGTGCTGGACAACTTCGTCTACATCGTGGGCGGGCAGCAGCTGCAGTACCGCAGCGGGGAGGGAGCCGTGGACGTGTCCTACCGCTACGACCCGCACCTCAACCAGTGGCTGCGCATCCAGGCCATGCAGGAGAGCAGGATCCAGTTCCAGCTCAACGTCCTGCGCGGCATGGTGTACGCCACGGGCGGCAGGAACCGCTCGGGCAGCCTGGCCTCGGTGGAGAAGTACTGCCCCAAGGACAACGAGTGGACCTACGTGTGCTCCCTGAAGCGCAGGACGTGGGGCCACGCCGGGGCCACGGTGGGGGACAGGCTGTACATCTCGGGAGGGTACGGCATCTCCGTGGAGGACAAGAAGGCCCTGCACTGCTACGACCCCGCGGCCGACCAGTGGGAGTTCAAGGCGCCCATGAACGAGCCGCGGGTGCTGCACGCCATGGTGAGCGCCAGCGGCAGGATCTACGCCCTGGGCGGCCGCATGGACCACGTGGACCGCTGCTTCGACGTGCTGGCCGTGGAGTACTACGTGCCCGAGAGCGACCAGTGGACCACGGTGAGCCCCATGCGCGCCGGGCAGTCGGAGGCCGGCTGCTGCCTGCTGGAGAAGAAGATCTACGTGGTGGGGGGTTACAACTGGCACCTCAACAACGTCACCAGCATCGTGCAGGTCTACAACACCGAGACGGACGAGTGGGAGAGGGACCTGCACTTCCCGGAGTCCTTCGCCGGGATCGCCTGCGCCCCCGTGATCCTGCCCCAGGTGCCCAGCCAGAGGTGACCCCGGCGGTGCCCCCGCCCTGGGCTCTTTGCTGCCTGCAAAAGCTGCGTTTGGTGTGGGGGGGAGAGGGAAGGAGAAAACCAGCTTGGGTTCGTTCCCTCCTCCCTGAGGTCCCTCCTGCTCGCGGGGAGCCCTGGCAGGAGCAGCCCGGGCAGCAGCGCTCGTCAGCCAGGCAGAGCGAGCAGATGTTACAGCTGGGAAGGGCTCTTCTCCCTCCTCTCTGGGTGGGTTTTTTTTGTCACTGGGTTTGGGGGGGGAATGGTGGGGGTGCATTTTGCCAACTTTTTGTATTTTTGGACGGCGTTCCACGCTGCAAACGGTGGCAGCTCCAGCGGTCACTCGGCACTGGGGTCTGTTTCAAAGAGATCAGGTGGGGTTTTTTTTTTATTTATTAATATCTCCCAAAAACCAACCAACCAGCCAACCAACCGAACAAACTCATTGTGTGTCAGTCTGGTGTTTTTTTAGCAGACAAAAAAAAAAAACCCACCCAACCAAAACCTGTGTAACACACTGACCTCCAGAAGCAATAAAGGCACCGTGGGAGCTACGAGAGCTCGGGTGCTTTTGGACTGTGGAAGCATATTCCCTTTTTTCAAAGGTGATTTTCCCTTTTATTCCTGCCTGAAAAAGGGAATCCTTAGCCCTGCACACCTCTGGTCTTCGTTGCTTGGATCTCACTGCAATTCCTCGCCCCCCCCCTCCAGACACTCCAGAAATTCCCCTCCCATCGGGGCGTGCAGAGGTTGCAGCACTAAAGCCATGGTTGAAAGCCAGATTATGTGCAGACTGGTACGATTATTTGGTTTTATAACTGCCAAAAACTTGGCTTCCCTGGCAATAAGAGCTCTGCAGTCGTCCCTCTGGGCTGACCCCCGAGGCCAAGAGCTCCTGCAGTGTGTGTGGGTCAGGACCTTCCCCTTCCTGCTCTCACCAGCTCATCCAAACTCTTCCTGCAGCGAAGGAGGTGGGTGCTACTCGGTCATCAGCTTGAAGGTTTTCTTCCTTGCGGTGGAAATGAGATGCCTGGCCTGATAAAGTGATGGAATTCCCAGCGGAGCAGGGCCTCGTTGTTGCGGTGGGGGTTTTCAATCCCAGAGGTTCGTTTTGAGATGACTCCACCATCTTTGCGAAGGACTGTTACTTCCTGAACTTGCCTCTCCTCCAAGCCATCTTTCCTCTTTAATTTGATTAATGAATTGCAAGGTTCTCCTCTCGTCAGGAGTTCTGTTTCAAGGGCTTTGTTTTGTACCTGTGTCACGATTCGAGTGGGGTGCGCCCCGGGCTCCTTTCTCAGTGGCTGTTGAAAGAAATCCCGGGCTGCAACCTTTTAGTGGCAACATGTAACGTCTGGTTTGCTGGTGAATCACTGAGAGGTCTGTGTGAAGCACAAACTCCACGCCTGGGAGTCACTGGAAGGGATTTTTCTGGAGTGGTGGAGCCAGGGCAGCCCCGGGTGGGTCTGGGGGAAACTCTGCTGCGCTCCCAGTTGCAGGTCAAGGGATGCATCATTTCGTCTGTTCCCCTCTGTTTGCTGGTTTGCCAATAATAAACTGATGAAAAGTCCTTGCTGTTGCTGAAGTCAGTGGGCGCTTGGGCTCTCAGGCAGTTAACTGACTGCTCTGTTCATTTGGTCAGGCCAGAAACACGAGGAAGGGGCTTGGCAGAGACAAGCAGCTCCTGAGAGGGTGAGACGGAGCTCGAGTCAAGCTTCAGAGTTACAAAATGATGGGTTTTTCCTTTTTAATGCTTCCATGTGTTTATAAAAACGGTACTTTCTCAGCTGGGCAACACATTCAAGTGTTCTTTGCTTTCCTATTTGCAGAACAAACTTAATCCTCTTACGGGAGTGTCGTTCTGTCATCATTGCCTTCCTGCGAGGGCTTCACCCTGGGGGGATTGGATTGGATTTTTGGACAAAATCCTTCCCTGGGAGGGTGGGCAGGCCCTGGCACAGGTTGCCCAGAGAAGCTGTGGCTGCCCCATCCCTGGGAGTGTCCAAAGCCAGGTTGGAGCAACCTGGGCTAGTGGGAGGTGCCCCTGGGATGGACCTGGGTGAGCTTTAAGGTCCCTTCCATCCTGTACCATTCCAGCATTCTGGGATTCCACAGCACTTAAATGCTCTCCCCTGTTTTATCTGGATGTTCCCACCGAGAGGATTCCCGGGGCAGCAGTTGGTGCTTTGGGTGTTCTCTCATCCCTGGGTTTTTCAGGAGGTGTTTCCCAGGAGCTGCAGCTCCTCAGGGCCAGAGAACCACGTGCTGGACCCATCCTTGGCCTCTCCCTGAGGGAACTGAGCTTTATCCCTCACTTCAAGCTTCCCAGGTACGTGTGTGTGCATTGGGGGCAAAGGGGGGGAAGAGAAAAATCCTTGGAAAAAAACCCAGAAAAGCGTGTTTGGCCTCACCTTTAGGGTCAAACTCGCAAAAATAAATGTAAACCGGTTGGCTTTGCAATGGAGGGACACCCAGAGCCCTTCTGGAACTGTGTTTAATGCACACACAGGTTGCCTGCCATGAAGCCAAACTAGCCTGGGATTCCCATCCCCGCTCCCTGGCACTGAGGGGGGGGGAGGAGGAGCTGGGAAAGGATCTGGAAAGCCTTCGGGTTCTTTTTATAGCAACGTAAATAATTGTTTTTCATCAAGCCGGCCAGGAATATTCCGGCCGGTCTAAATTTAGCAGGGGCTAAAACGAAAACGTTTGGGATAATAAATTGGGGTTGACCCCCCCCTGTGAAGGGCGGAGCCTCCCTCTGTTCCTCTGGCAATAAGTGGGTCTGGTCCTTTAGTTCGGGGAGGGGAGAAAACACTTCCCAGGATGCCCCACTTGGAGAGCAAGTGGCCTGGGCTCCTCTTTTCCTCGGGAATGAGCAAAGCCAGATAAAGGTTTGCCTGCCCTCGGAGCCGTTTATGGGTCTCAGAGCAGCCATAAACGTTCTGGGGGCGAAGCTGATTTGGTAGGTTTGGAAATGCCCTGGAGCAGGTGGGGAGCACTCAAAGCTGTGTGTCCCCCCCCCCGGGGACTCCTGTCAGGGCTGGGATAACAACTCCTGTCTTCTCTGATGTTTTATGGGCCCGAAATGGGGCTTAAAAACTAGAAAGGAAGCCCTGGAAGTCTTGGCAGGGTGCGGAGCAGCTCGAGATCGGGAGTGTCTGCATCCCATTAATGGTGTCACTGACCCTTTTCCAGAGGGTCTGTCGGCTCCCAATCCCACTGTCACTTCTCCCTTATCCCAGAACCCGGCTAATTCACCCAGACACGGCCCAGCTCTTGTGCTGCAGCCCTGGAAGCCGTAGCAGCGGTGGAAAACTTCCCTGCCTTGGGTTCCCGCGGAGCGAAGACGCTCCCAGCAGCTCCCGGGGCTGATTGAAAACTGCTGCTCTGTGGAAAACAGGGCTGTGAGGGGACCTCGAGAAGCCACATCAAACCCTGCCAGGCATTCCCACTTCCACGTCTCTGATAAGGTCTGGAGTTGCTGAAACTCCGCAAACTTTTCGGGACATCCATCAGGGGAGGATTATTGGAGCCAGACTGCTGTCAGGATAAATAAAACATGTTCCCCAGCGCAGCTCTAATTATGATTTTTAGCCAGTTGTGTAATGTGCAGAACTTTATTTACAATAAATCTTCCAGTTGCTCGCAGAAGTGAATGGGATTTCATCACTCGTGGCTGGAGGAGCAGGAAAAGTGGATGTGGCTGGATAAATTCACAGTCTGGGCGTGTTGGCACGTCAGGAGACGGAGGGAGCAGAGCTGGCTGGCCTTGCCTTCCAAGGAGGGCTCAGCTCTCCCGAGTTTCACCTGGGATCATCGAAATATCTCACAAACATCTCCCCTCTGAGGTGTTTGTTTTTTTTTTTTTTTACCAGAGCTGCTGGTTCAGCTGGGCAACCTCAGAGCAGCCTCGGGCTGTAACAGAGGCTGAGGATGAAGTGGAGGGTGTCCCCATCCCTGGAAGTGTCCCAGGCCAGGTTGGAACAACCTGGGATAGTGGGAGGTGTCCCTGCCTGTGACAGAGGGTGGCACTGGATGAGCTTTAAGGTCCCTTCCCACCCAAATCATCCTGGGATTCTGGGAAAGCAGAAAAGCTGTCGGAGCAAAAGTTTCCAGAAGGTTTTCTAAGCTGTAGAGAGAGAAATTAAAGCTCCTTGGCTCAGCCCCTGAGGCTTTGCAGTTGCTGTTTCACACCCAGGCCCCTGTAATTAGCTAGAACTGGTTTACATGGCTTCTTAAAAACTGAAAATCTTTACTTTTTTGGTTGTTTGTGCAGGCTGCTGGCCAGGCTGTGCTGGCTGCCCCGAGCCTGAGCTGGAGCAGGGCCTTGGGAGCCACTGGAGCTGCACCAGGGCAGGATTTATCCCCTTGCTCCTGTTAACCCCGGAGCAGCCAGGGCAGGATTTATCCCTTGGTGTCCTTGATGGCTCTCAGTCACAGTGCTTGGAGAAACGAGCCAAGGGGTATTTTAGACACGTGGTTATCTGATGTTTTGCACTCAGGCTGCTAATCTGGGGCTGCAAAGTTGGCAATTATGGGCTTTAAAATCAGCCCTCCCTGCCGTGGCCCGGGGTCCTGACCCTCCTCACGGGGTGCAGATTCACCCCCTGGCAGCATCAGTGCTGGCATCCAGCGCTGCTGGTGCCTCCAGGACAGTGGTTTGCAGCTGGATTTGGAAGGAATGTTTGGATTTCACCCAGGTTTGGGAGAGGGAGGAGTTTTGCCCCGAGGTGCCCCGAGCTGTGTAATTTTTCACGCTCAGGGAAAGGGGTTGAGGGTGAGGAAGAAGTTCCCGCTGCCAGAAGTGTGTGTTTGGTGTTCCCTGAGGGGGGACAGAGGAGCTGTGGCTGCCCCATCCCTGGAAGTGTCCGGGCCCAGCTTGGACGAAAGGAGCATCCTGGTGGAGTGGGAGGTGTCCCTACCCCTGGCACTGGGCGATCCTTCAGGTCCTGCCAACCCAAACCTGGGTTTGGGGGTTTTTTGGGTCCTGGGATTCCATGATTTCCACGCTCTTTCCCCATTTTTTGTGGTTAGTGTTAACCTAGAAATGCCGTCCCGTGAGCGACCATCAGAGCTGACCCCGGGCCAGCTCTCCAGCAGGGGAGAACCTCCCCTTTTCCACAGGCAAAAACAAGTTGTTCCCTTCCTTCCAGGGCTTTTGCAGGACGGCAATTAGAGCCCCTGTGGGTGACTCTGGCTCTGCTGCTCTCCAAGAGGCCCCTGCAGAGCCTGGAGGTTTGATGGCAGCAAAGCTTTGCTCCCCCCCCCCCCCCCCCATCTCCCCACCGAGGTGTGACCCCTTGTTCGTGTGGGGTGGGAAATTCAGGGGGTATTCAGATGGTCATCAGGATTTCAGGCAGGAATTACCTGGAACTGCAAAAAAGGGCGTTCAAAGGGGGTTTTGGGGTGTTGGAAGGGTCTGAGGGGTGTTGAAGGGAGTTTTAGGGGGGTCATGGGGAGTTGGGGGAGGGGTTTTAGGAGGGGTTTAAGGGGATTTTGGGTTATTTGGGAGGAGGGAGGGGGAGGTTTGGGGGGGCTCAGAGAGCCCACCAGGTTTTCCAAGGCATGGCATAATCTCCCCCCGGGGTGTGGGGGGGGAATGAAGGGGCAAAGCTGGCACTGCAACCTCCCTGCCAGTGCCTTCATGCCCTGGGGGTTTATTTTACATCATCTGCAGGGCCCCCCCTCCAGATCCACCCAAAAATCTGGAGCTCGGGAGGGGCTGAGGAATTCCAGCAACCACCAGGGCCCTTGAAGAGAAGTTTGGGGTAAAAGGGGGAGTTTCAGGAGGGAAGCAGAGTGGGGGTCAGGCTGGAACTCGAGCTGATAAAGCTGCAAACAATGAGAACTGGGAGTTTCTGGAGGGAGGAAGCCACAATTCCCCCCCCACACCCCCCCAGCCCTCGCCCCCCTGGCCATCTGCATTCCTTCCCCGGAACCAGGAGAGGGGGATTTCACTCTGCTCCCACCTCAGCGCATCCAGGAGGGGGAAAATTTATCAAGTTCCATCGTAGGCACTTAATCCTGTGGAAGAGGCAGAGTGGCAGCTGGGCCTGGATATCACCGGGATGGGAGGAAATCCAGGATAACTCAACCCCTTATTTATCATTGTCTCGCCCCTGGAGCAGGAACAATGTGGAGAATCGGTATCTGGGTGTTAAATCTTGGTGATTTATGTGCTTTTAGCCTGCCGGGGCCGATTGTGCAGGTCATGTGCTGTTCGTGTACACAGCCAGAGGGGGGTTTCTAGGGATGGACCTGCCGGGTGTTTGTTCCCGGTGAAAAATGCAAGAAGTGGTTGGATTAACATCTGTCAGGGGGGAGGGAGGAGGGGCTGAGCCTGCCAGGGATGGTGTCAGACCCAGCTCTGCTTCCCCTGATGGTATCTCAGCCCCTGTTGTAAACTTGGAAGTGCAGGTTGGCAGCTGGAATTCAGGGCAGGACCTGACTCTGAGGCTCGTCCAGCTCCTGGAGTGAGGACTGGATGGTGCATCCCAGCCCTGGAGTGGTGGATAATTACAACAGGGGTGGAAAATGCTTAGAAACGTGCAGTTAAGTCAGTTGAACTCACTGAACCAAGGTGACGAAGGTGAGAGTGGAAGGGAGAGCAGGGGGCCAATTTCTTTGATAGGATAATTCAGGCCTGACAGGATTTGGGGACTGGAACAGGCACTTGGTGAATGGCACGTTGCACCTTTCAGGGGCAGAGTGGCACTGAAAAGCCAAGTGTGCACTTTCTCTCTGTTAAAAAGAACGGGGATGAGGATGGGGAGAGGAACAGGAGCGGGGACAGGGATGGAGATGGGGACAGGGACTGGGATCAGGACCGAGACAAGGACAGGGATCAGGACTGGGACAGGGACAGGGACAGGGACTGGGACCAGGATCAGGACAGGGATCGGGACAGGGATCAGGACTGGGACAGGGACAGTGCCAGGGACCAGGACCAGGACAGACAGTGACAGGGATAAGAACTGGGATCGGGACATGGATGGGGACACTGCCAGGGACCAGGACACTGATGGGGACACGGATGGGGACAGTGCCAGGGACCAGGACATGGATAGGGACGTGGATCGGGACATGGATGGGGACATGGATATGGATGGGGACATGGATGGGGACATGGATGGGGACAGTGCCAGGGACCAGGACATGGACATGGATATGGATGGGGACATGGATATGGATGGGGACATGGATGGGGACAGTGCCA